TTTTATATGAAATTAACCATGGCTCTTGTTCATTATAATCCCTAAAATAAATTTAATATTTCAAACAATAAAGAAATAATGTCATTGACACAAACCATCGTACAATTGCACCCCAATTGGACCCATTACAATAATTTGATGCACTAAAAACAGTTAATACTTTGCGACTATGTGTAAATTTATAACCCTCTTCTTTGACTTGATGTGAGCGTATAATCATTGAATAATTGTATTTCTTAAGAAATAGTTCTGTAATATCTGGATCGAAAAAACAACCTATATTTCTTTCATCGTTTTTTCGACAACCTTCACGACTATGAGGATCACTTCACAATAAATCTTAAGATATTTCATATCAAATACATAATTTAGGATTATTTATTTATATCATTACTACCTTGCATTTGATGATATTCATCACCTTCAGCAGCCGTCAATTGTTTGCCACCACTTTGAGATTTGGGTGGTACTTCAATTGAGACATCTACAAAAAGATAAACATAAACATTATTTAAGGTGACAACAATTTGAAACTTAAGCAAAGTCTGTTTTTTTGGCATTTTGTTTCGTGATTGTTGAATAAAACTTGTCAAGTTACTCTTAAAAATCTTGTTTGTGCCAAATATGACGTTCTTTTCCTTATTAAGAATGCAGTTCCTATGAATTGTTGATATCAACTATGATTAGTTTTTGTTTTGCTCTATCCGAAGTTGTATACATCGGAAGAAACTAAAAAATGTGAATTTTTGATCAATCGCAAAACTTTTGTTACCTAGGTGAATGAGATGCGGTCAGTGTCAACCCGAAAATCCCAAAATTGTGGGAACTTGGAAGCGGAAATGCAGTGAATGTTTTCATCTCAAATTCATGGATCCGGGCGCCGAAATCAGTGATCTGGGTATGTATTTCATAAACTTCGTCTGCATCTGTGGATAAAGCAAAAATCTTATCTTGGCTGATATAAGCAACTCTATCGAACTGTGACAAAAAATGTTACAAAACAAATGTGTGCGAAAATTTTGAATTGTCAGCATCCTTAACAAATATGTATTTATCATTTTTAATCTTACATCGATTTCTTGTAAGAGACTTAATTTTTTCTAGATCAATACGATTAGATATTCCTCGATGTACTATGATAAATTTAGATTTTTTTGCATGAACAGATGAATAAATTGGTGTCCGACTAAATATGTCTATAAAAAAGATCAAGTAATGGTGTTTTGGGTCTCTAAATATATATTCAATAGATAAATATCTTCGATAAGTTACAAAGTAACCTGATATTTTTTATTAATTTCATCTTGAAAACCATAGTGACTTGTAATCATTATATCTTCATGAATCATAATGACCTTTTCATTTTTATTTTAAAAAAAAATGGGCAAAGTTAAATAAAACAAATAGGAATGAAAAGAAAATAAATACCGCCATTAAGAAAGACTGAACTTGGATAAAGAATCAATACAACCATTAGTAAAAGAAAAACTTCAACTGAATTTGGACCTCGATCAACAAAATCTCCATTGAATATATATGGATTATCAATTGCAGGTAGTCCATTCTACAAATACTTAAAATAGAGAAAAAAAGAAATTCTTATCAATATTTACGCTACCGCATTAAATATATGTAATAAATCAGTTAATTGTCCATGAAGATCACCAATAATGTATATATGATGTAAATTAGATAAATCAATATGATTAAAATTTGGTAAACTCTTAAGTATAGCACGTGCTTGATAAAAAATTTGACAGACATATTTTTCATGTAAAACCTATGAATAGATAAAAAGGATCATAGATAACAATAATGTAAAAGTTTATTCAATATGCTTTGATTTATTCAAACGTGATCTCCAGTTTTTTTTAGGAATTATATTAATTACAGAATCAGTTGTATTCTTTTGTCATAAGCTGTACATCTAACGAGAAGGAAGCGAAAATACTAATTCGATATCGGTTAAATCCCTCGTCACAATAGAAGCCCTTGAAGCTTCTAAATTTCCCAAGGATTCAAAACTCACATGACAGACACATATACGACCTTCTTGCTAGGAAGTGTGTTTCTTTGCTCAGAATTTTTTCTGCTTCAAAATTGTTTTGTGTTATACATGCATCATTCGACGCAGTTTAATGTGCTAATTCTGAATATATTATTTTTGCTGATCAAACATTTTTTCCAAAGTCAGAAAAACTTGAAAATACTTGAAAAATCTAGGCTGATTTCGAACACATTGTGCAGTGGTTGGATGCGAATGGATTGCTCATTTTACGAACAGAGCTCTTCGAATGATACTAGAAATTCTTGTTTTAATCATTATATAGAGTTCGACTTAGAGATTGAGAAAATGCACTGGATTTGTCTGTCGAATATTTTACTTTTGTCAGATATCAATTTTCCTAGTAACAAAAATAGATTATATTTCGGTGTACTTCTCTTTATTTAAATCCCGAAAAAGCGTGATTTTCGTTTTTAACCAAAAGTCTGCCTAGATGCATACTGTGGAGTGATGATTCTAATACGACATGAGTGTGGATATTACAGAAGAGAACACTCACACTCTATATCATGATATTACAAGCAGAAAAATACGAAGTATGTTAACATGTGATAATGTTCAAATACCTGTAACTAGGCAAAGTGCCCATTACAGAGTACATAATGATCATAGCCTCAGAAGTATTTTTTTATACGTAGACAGCGTCTGATCAAGACTTATTTAATAGTATCTGCGGAGCTTTACTAAAAAAATTAACATTGTGTAGACACTACAGAACTACAGAACCCCTGAAACTTCTAATATGGGAAGTCTTTTATTTCGGGTAGTGATTTAGTACAAATATTTGCTAATCATTATTAAATGATGTTTGTATTATTGTATTTGTATTGTGATAGAAAAAGTTGAATTGTAAAATTCTGGATGTATCTTCATGAATAAATTGTTTGCATTCAACTTACATTAAAACGAACATTTAATCTAGTGGCTTCTATACTCCGAAATTCATATTCATCCTGTTTTTTCTCTATAAACATCTTTCAAAAATCAAATTTTGACTGATTACGAAATAATATATCAACGATCACTGACTTCAAGTCTTTTAATATACTTGTAATAGTGTAATTGAAATACAAATACTTATGATATAAATGGAAATAAAAATATTATTTAAAATTTAATTAAAAGATTCTTCTTACTCACTACATTAATTCGAGTCACTAAAACATATGTTCTCCGTTTACGGAAAAGCATTTGCCTTTTTATATCAAAATTATTTGTGTCAGGAGAAAGGTCTCACAAGTAGGAAACTTTAAATTTGTTCTATCAAAAGAGCCATTTGAAGAAAAAAAATTAGAAATTTTATAATTTTGAATTTTGTAGATAAAGCGTATTTAGTTTCTTTCATTTCACTAAAGTGATTCTTGAAGTTGCAATCATATTACATGTATATTAAGAAGACTTCTAGACTAGAACAATCAAAAAAAGTAATCAAATCCATCAACCTTGTCTATAGACTCAGGAGAGTTTCGTTGAATTTTTACCGCAGGATGACTGATAGACAGAAAAGTTAAACAAAAGATTTTTAACCCGAAATTTTGTTTATAAGTAGACTACATGGTTTTAAAAATATCCTTAGTTTCAATATAAGAGATAAATTACCTCCTGAAATATTCGATGTTCAAAAAGTTCCCTTTTTTGTTAACTGTCTCTTATGACAAGAACTCGTCACGCCCCTACACATTTCTCAGACAATCTTAATGATGATTTTATAAGAATCAAGTCATAAGTGGTTTCTACTTTTAGAGTATGATTCGTCTAATCTAGAAGTCTTCTTTATATGCCGAAAATATGATCTCAAAAGTATCTTAGTTTTACAGTAGTAATTATGTTTATATTGAGTTTAGTATTTTTAACTAATCGTTGTATGGTATCGAAATAGTTAAATCTACTCATATGAACAGTTTTGATCTTACTCATAGTCTTCTAAATCATATAACGGGTGGCCCAGATTAAATGGACCTCTCAGTATTTTGACTATAGCTTTTTTTCTTTTTGGTCTTTAGAGCTAATTGTTTTTCCAAAAGATGCACCGTCAAATTCTCTGTAAAATCATAATCAAACTTATTTGTGTAGAAAGTTAAGGAAAAACGTTAAACAAAGATTATCCGACACATTAAAAGTACCCAACTTTCAAAGTTAACCGGTGTTTGTATCTCTTTTTTTTTATCGTTAAGTACGTCTATTTGAAAAGCAAAGTATACCATGAGACGCAGCGTGAAAAGTTCTATAAGTTACATTGAAAACCTTATCTTATACATGTACTCTTTGTTTTCAAAATGGACGAAATTCTGTGCGACCAATTTTTGACGCTGCGAACAAGATCAGTTTTTGGTACACTACGAATTCATTTTTTCTTATTTCATCTCTTTATCGCCTAATATGTTGTATTAAAAGAAAAGAAAACATACTACAAGATGCAGCGTGAAAAACTCTACAATCTATAAAGAACAGTTTATTTTATATATATGCATCTTTTGTTTTTATAATAAGCAAAGCTCTGTGCGACCAAAACTGATCTTGTTCGCAGCGTCGAAAATTGGTCACATAGAATTTTGTCCATTTTGAAAACAAAGAGTGCTTGCATAAAATAAGGTTTTTAATATAACTTGTAGAGCTTTTCACGTTGCATCGTATGGTATACTTTACTTTTAAAATAATGTGCTTGGCGATAGAAAAAAGAGATACAAACATCGGACACTTATGAGACATCCGTCAGCTTTGAAAGTTGGGTACTTTTAATGTGTCGGATAATCTTCGTTTAACGTTTTTCCTTAACTTTCTACATAAATAAGTTTGATTATGATTTTACAGAGAATTTGACGCCGCATCTTTTGGAAAAACAATTAGCTCTAAAGACCAAAAAGAAAAAAAGCTATAGTCAAAATACAGAGAGGTCCATTTAATCTGGGCCACTCGTTATCAACAAATAATCTTAAAACTATTTTATTGTGTTTTATATCTTAATCCTCTACATCTTGTGTTGCATACTTTCTCTTACTTGTCCGTATTGAAAAGCTTCAATCAAATTTACAAATGCCTTTCTTGTAATTGGGCCTTCGATACCTAGAAAACAAAATGAATTATAAATTCATTTAATTTACAAAAGAAAAAGAAATAGTCAGTTACGTGGCCCATGATAACTTGCTTCAACAGGAATACCATCAGGATTTGTTCATCTTAAAAGTTCTTTTTCTTCTATATAAAAATTAAGTAGAATATATCTATTATCTATTTTATTTCTGCATAATACATTACCTACAGGTATTTGAACTTTCCGAAGTAGTTTTGCAACAGATGGTGAAAGTGAATCGGATGCTTTGAGTAATTTTTCAAACATATCTTTAAGCTAATATGTGTAAATAAATTTCAAAATCTTAGTGTAATTACAAAAGACAAAATGATATTTTCTTTACTCTGGCTGCAGTTTATTCACTAGAGTATTCAAGTTTTTCATGTATTTCCCATGCTGCTCGTTTATATAATTGAAGTCGAGCTTGATAGGATATGCATCTTGAATTTTTGCTGCCGATTTGTCAGCTAGAACAAAACATTGTTTTTTTTTCTTAATTATAACTTCTTCATAGAATATTTGGCGATCTTAGCTTCTCATGAAGAAAAAAACAAGGAATACAAGTAATAAAAACGCATACCTAACATCGTTGGCAATTGAGTAATGTTTTTCTAATTTATCTAGTTGATCAGATAGTAATAATACTTGAGGTACCATCTGAACGGGAAAAATCAAAAAGTTAGTTCTAC